ATGTTTTCTTATTTTATCATCAATACATACAACAAAAAGAGAAACAAGTAGTATTTAAAATGCTAGGTAACAATTTATTTTCAGTAACAATTCACTTAATTTATTACTTGCATGTTACCTATTATGAAGATATTAACTGATTATTTGCACTTTGTAAAGTGTGATCTCTTTTTTTTTTATATCCCTAATCCTACCCAATACCTAACCCAACCTTACCAACTATCAATGAGCTAAAAGTCTTAGTTAATGGTTTGTTAATAGCGTGAAGTGTATATTAAAATAAAGTATGTTCTAATGTTCTTTTACTGTTTTCGTCTTACAATGCTCAGGCTAATTTATAAAATTTTGTGATGTTTTTTCTCATTTGCCAACTTTTAATATGAATGAATATACAACAAAAATGGAGGCAAGTGGCATTTTAAAATGTTTGGTAACGCTTTATTTTAAGTAGCAATTAACATCATTTATTTGCTTGCTTATTACATTCACACCATTAAATAATTGCTTATTACCTGCTAATTGTTAAGATATTAACTGTTTATTAGCACTTTAGAAAGTGTGAACTTTTTTCTGTAATCCTACCCAATACAAACGCAACAACTACCTTACTTATTATTAATCATTAGTAGTTTATTGAGCTAAGCTAAAAGTTAATAGTTAATAGTCTAACTCACATGCTAATTTAAAAGGTTTAGGGAAGTTTTTTTTCTTATTTTTGCACCTTTTGCATGAATATATACAACAAAAAGGGAAGCAAGTGGCATTTTAAAATGTTAAGTAACACTTTAGTTTAAGTAACAATTCATACTGTTACTTGCTTATTATCTGCCAATTATTAAGATTTTCATAAAGTAGGATTTTTTTTTAAATATCCCTAGTCCTTCCACGTAAACCGAACTACCTTACTATTAATTGTTATTATTACCTTAATAATAACTATTAATAAGCAGCTAATTAGTGGTTTATTGAGCTAAAAGTCTTAGTTAATAGTTTGTCAATAGCGTAAATTGTACATCAAAATAAGTGTGATCAAATTATTATTATTATTATTATTATTATTATTATTATTATTATTATTATTATTATTAATTAATTAATTAATTAATACTCAATTAATTAATTAATTAATTAATTAATTAATTAATTTAATTTTGGTCTTACAATGCCCAGGTTAATTTATAAGGTGATTTTATAATGCTTTACATGAACATAAACAACAACAACAACAACAAAAATAAAAGCATGTGTCAATTTAAATGTTAATTTATTGTTTCTGTCTGACAGTTAATGAAACTCAGTCCCTTGAGGAAGTGAAACATGATCAAGCTGCTGAGCAGAGCTGAGTTGAGTTGAGCCGGAGTAAGTTTGACATATTAGGAGTCAATTAGCTGAATTATTGCATTTCGCCTGGCGCAGATGATCCCGCTGGAAATGTATCTGGAAAAACTCTGCTCCTATTATTTGCTTAAAGCTCAAATTACAGGAGCAGCCTTCCTCCATGGTCTTTAGATCTTGCCAGATAAGGAAAATCATTCGTAGGAGTGTGATCCGTACAGATGACTGCATTTTCTGTAAGCCGCAGAGTCTTCGGAAGCGCCCTTGGTCTTAAGGGGCTTAACTCCGGTTCCTGCTGAACTGAGCCAGTGCTAAATACATCAACTGTTATCAGCTCAGTAGGCACAGGAGGTTGAACCCAGTGCTGAACCTCACACTGACTTCTGCTTTCCTTCTGACTTGTATCAGAGCTGGATTACAGATTGATTGATATCAAATACAACAGTGCTTTATTAGAGTCTAGCATTAGCACAATACATCATTTTTAAACGAAAGTAAAATGTAGTATACATTGTAAAAAATGCTGGGTTCAACACAATTCCTTCATGTTGTCTTAAAACAAATCGATTACGTTAACTTTATGGTATTGCAAATTTAAGTTGAACGAAAATAAAACAATTAAATTGTCCAAAAAAATGTAAGAACTGTGTTGTTTCAACTCAATTTAAATAAGTAGTTTTGAACAAGCAGCAAAAGTCCTTTTTGAGTGTATAGAACAAAAAAGAAATACAAGAAAAAATACACAAAACTATATATAAAAACTCACAGTTGGCAAGAACTAAATTACTGAAACAAAAATAAAAGTCAAGCATAGAAGATAAGAAATAATGCTATTTGTAAATTTGCTTAATATATGCCTGTAGTTTTCTATAGACAAAAAGGTTAAACCAATGTGTTTGCTACTTTTATACTTTTTCAAAAAGTAAAATCACTGTCCATTCAGATAATCCTCTTTTCCTTTTCTTCCATGTGTTTGAAATATTGAGAATATTTCCATCGCATTAATGTGGCTCTGCCATCTTCCCTTCTGTCTGTTCCTGCGTTCTCTCGTTGCGTGCACCTTTAACATGAATATTTGCAACAAAAATGGATGCGCGTGTTATTTTTCAAAATGTTTGGTAACACTTTAGTTAAAGTAGCAATTTACACCATGTTTTACTTGCTTATTAGCTGCCTATTATTAAGATATTAACTATTTATTACCACTTTATAAAGTATGATTATTTTTACATCTCCTAAACTCAACTACTACCTTACTAATTAGTAAACTGAAAATTAGTAGTTTATTGAGCTAAACTACTGAAACAAAAATAAAAGTCAAGCATAAGATAGGAAATAAAAATTTATTTAAATTATGAACTCAAATTTCAGTAGTTTGTTATTTATTTATTTTATTTAGTTCCCCTTTTTGTTATTACAAATATTTTAGCATGGGTTTAAAAAGTTAGATATATCTGCCTTGAAATTTATACATTTTCTTAAATATGCCTGTAGCTTTCCACTAGAACATTATATGATTATCATTTCTTGTCGGCGTAGTCCCTTTATTCATTTGGAGTCGCCACAGCGGAATAAACTGGCAACTTATCCAGCAAGTTTTTATGCAGTGGATGCCCTTCCAGCCGCAACCCATCTCTGGGAAACATCCACACACTCATTCATACACACACTCGTACATCACGAACAATTTAGCCTACCAAATTGACCTGGGTCACATGTCTTTGGACTGTGAGGGAAAACGGAGGACCCGGAGGAAACCCACGTGATTGCAGGGAGAACATGCAAACTCCGCACAGAAATGCCAACTGAGCCGAGCCGAGGTTCGAACCAGCGACCTTCTTGCTGTGAGGCGACAGCACTACCAACTGCGCCACTGCGTCCCCTATTATATGATTATCTACAGTTTTTTTTTCTGTATTAGTTAACTCATAAATTATTTATTAATCACTTTATGTAGTTCGAATGCAGTATGCTGCTAACCAAAGTTGGATAAAGTTTCAAAAGTAATATATATTTCAATCTTAAGCCTATCTTTTAAAACATAAAGATAAATACACAAAAAATAACAACAAATACTTTAACATTATACTTTTGTTAAAAAGTAACTAAAACACATGGTTACTTGCAGTGTTGGGGAAAGTTACTTTACAAAGTAATCCATTACAATATTGAGTTACTCTCAAAAAAGTAACTAGTTGTGTTACTTAGTTACTTTTTATGGTAAGCAATGCATTCCGTTACTTTTACATTACTTTTTCTCGTAGCACTTTATTTTCATGGTCTATTTGAGTATTAGTAGACTATCTGCTTAATATCTGCTGATACCGCTTCTTCAACAGACATTTAGCTGAGTATAAGAAACTCTGCAAGTACACGTCAACTTACACTACCCATAACCCCAACCCCAACCTAACAGTCTACTTAAAATCTAATGAGAATTAGTTGACAAGTAGATGCAATGTAACTTAGATTCAACAAAAGGACCATCAAAATAAAGTGTGACTCTTTTTCTGACCTGTCTGAGGCTTGATCTCTTTCATAACTTGCAGTTTTTTTTCTTCTTCTTTTTTTTAAAATATAGAAAATCTGCAGTTGACAACACACTGTATAACCTTCATTAACCTTTAAAAAAAAAAAAAAAATTCAATGTAGAATAAAGTTGTATTTCAAGAACTTCCTGAGCCAAGAGATCTACATGCCATATATACAGATTAGTTAAAGTGGAAAGTTTAAAGCAATTTAAAGCATTTTTTTTTAAATTAAAAAGTAAATTCACTGTCCATTCAGGTAATCCAATTTCCCTTTCCTCCATGTGTTCAAAATAATGAGAATTCTTCCATCCCAGAAATGTCAGGTTCTGCCATCTTCCTTTCTGTTTGTTCCTGCATTCTCTCATTGCGTGCGAGATTTAACGTGACTATGTTCATTTTAATTCAGCATTTTTTTTTAAAAGCGAGTTCATTAAACTAAAAACTCGCTTTACATTTTTAAAAAAGTAACTCGATTATTATTACTTAATTTTGAAAAGCATTGCGTTACATAACTTGAGGTACTTGTAATGCGTCACCACCAACACTGATTATTTGTTTGAAAAAAAAAGACACTATAAATAAACACTGTAATCTATGCATTGTTTATTGTTTGTTTATGTTAGTAAATATATCATCTAACATTAACTTATACGACCTTATTGTAAAGTGTTACTGACACATTTGTGTTCAACTCAAAAAGAAAGCAAAAAACTGATAGAAAAAAAGAGCACCTTCGATGCAGTATAAGTCTCTTTTGTAGGAAATTATCGAATCTGCTTTATTATCAATATAATTTTTTAAAGCATATGGCCTTTTGTATATATATATATATATATATATATATATATATATATATATATATATATATATTGCATGTAGTACAGCACTAACTGACAGAAACGTAAAGGGAGGAAGTTCAGTACTCTCTCTGCTCCATTCATTTATGTTGAATAGTGTTCTGGCTCAAAGCCAACTTGACCAGACCACCCTGTCTGACGGGGCGGGTGGGATGGAGGATTACACTCTGAGTTCTTTCCCTGGCGGGTCATTTCGAGTAGTTCCTCTGGATCAGGTTTGTGTCCTTTTTCCGGTTTTGCTCTAACATGGCCAACCGTCATGTTTGTGTTCTCACCTCCTGGCTGATTTCGAGTGTGGGCCTCAGAGGAGCGGAACTTAGCCACTGTGAACATAGGATATCCGAGATCTGTTCACAGAGTGAGCTAAGTCCTGCACCTCACGAAACTTCAGCAGACATCATATCCAGATGCTCTCCAAATCATTGGCCATATTAGCTATTTTTTTGGCTTAAAAAATTGTAAGATGTATTTATCCAAATAGCTCTATACACAAACAAAATATAAACTCAATATACATACGCTTTGTTTCTTCAACTTTGAGCACTTTTATATCACATCTTTGATTTTTTTGCTGATAAATACTGTAAGTATATATATATATATATATATATATATATATATATATATATATATATATATATATATATATATATATATATATATATATAAATGAAAAAACAAAATAATAAACAAACATTACCCATTTTTGAGTGGGGATACAAGTGTGAAGATGCTAAGCATATTCTAAGGAAAAAGGTTTGTTTTAATTGCAATGTTGTATAATTTATTCAAATTTATTTAATGATTTTGTATGAATAATTTTAGAATTTCCAAAATTTTTAGATTAACAGAACTCTAGTAAAATTAAAATAAAATAATTTATTTAAATAAAATTTGTTATTTGTCTTTTATTTTTTAGATTTGCATTTATTTATTGCTATAAAATGCTAATTTTAATCTTTTTTTTTTTTTTTGCTTATTACTATATAACTAAATTTGTTTTAAAAAAATATTTTAAAAAAATTATTTGCACATTCTTGATTCTTTACCCCAAAACACTTCCATGGCCCTGGCAAACTTTTCTTTTTAAAGTTATTTCTATCACATTAATTTCCAACAAAGAAAACACATCATGTTAAACACATTGTGTTATTTATGATGTTGTGAAACTCTTACTGTAACCCCTTTCTATTGAGCTTGCAAATACACACTATAGAACAAAGTCTGGATAAAGACATCATTAATAAAAGTGTGCAAAATGCGATTTTTATTTTGAAAGATTATTTCTAGACAAAAGTGATCATTGTTAAGGAAACATCTGTAAAATATTGTCATTATTTTCTGTCATTATGGCAAAGATAAATTAAATCAGTTATAAGAGATAAGTTATTAAAACTATTATATTCAAAAATGTCATCAACTTGGAAGTATAATTTTCTCTCTGCGTTCTAAATGTTTTTGAGATATTCAGCTTCAAAGTTTTTGCATTCCATAACAAAACTGTTTTCCCTATTGTGGATTTTCTGTGAAATTTCTTTTTTTAATGTTGCCAAATACTATTTCCTATAATATTTTTTCTTCAGAGAAAAGTCTTATTTCATATATAAATTACATACATTTATTTAACAAAAAATAAACAAAAAATGATTGTCACATTAAACAAAACACTTTTTAGGGGTAAATTATACATCTGTGAATAAAAACAATCAAATTGTTCAACTTTAAGACTTAAAAAATCCTCAGTGTTTTCTGGCATCTGTTTTTCCCCCCTTTTGCATTGATGTTCCTATAAAGAACACTATATCCTCTACTTAATGAATCCATTATCACATTTTTTCCTCACACGTCTAAAGCAGTGTGGCGCCATTTCCAGAAATTACCACGTGTTTTGCCCATTTCAAAGACAGCCTCAGCTGTCAAAGCCACAGCTTTTTATATTAACACTACATTAGACCACATATGACTGTATGGCACAATATGCTCATATCCAGTTTCCTAAAACCGCAGTCAAAAAAGAGAGAGCCAGTGTTTATGCAATGGACAAAAAGTGGCAAAACAAGCCAGACCTACATATATGAGGTTTTCTAATCCGGTGTGTTTCAGCCTTCAGTTACGGTTCATTTTGGGGGCATTGTTTCAATCCATTCTCTTCAAATCAGATTTGACCACTTCATCCATCAGACTCGACTATCACAGAGACTTTCCTGGAGTAAACAGTTCACAGCTGGTTGGAAATCCCTGGCAATGTGATTTTATGATATAATCCCAAATCACTCTGCCAGGAATCCCTCCAGCTGGTCCATTGATGAGATGACCATAGGAGAAAGGAGGAAAAAAAAAGGTAAACGTAAGTGACACACGCCGCTGTGTTGTTGCACGTCTCCTGTTTCACAGGGATAATTTGCCCAGAATCACTCAGACTCTTGAGAAAACAAACTCTGAATGGAGCCATAGTGTCTTCTGTTTACATGACCCTGGCTTCTCTGTGAGCACCTTGACATTAGATTCCGTTGACAAGATTTGTCCACTCGCTAGCAAATTGTTACCATCTTTAGCCAAGTATGATCCACACATCAAAGGGTTTACCCTGTTAAACAGGGCTCATCGTGCGGAATGAGTGTATCATATCAAGTGACTGGCATAATGAGAAACACAGAAAATTGTCAGGGTCACTGCATGGGCTACATAATAGAGTTGATTTTCCGCATGAATCATCAGGGCTGTTGTTTGGTGTCTGTGGCTCACGACATGGGGCCGTGATTGCGATCGGCCTCTGCTCCTCCTCTCCAGTCCGTGGAGATGTTGCGATTTTTCATCTCCGTGACTTTAGCCAGAAACTAATTGCGTTAGAGGCCACATTAAAAGCCAGAAGCCAGTTGTCTGAACCAAATGCAAATGGATGTTTCTTTTTGTTTTTACTAAGAGCTGTTTTCTCTGCCAGTTCTTAGCTGGAGCCTTTATTACTGGGTTATGAGTGTCTATTATGAGGGGGTGTGTGTCATATTGGCGACTGCGTGTGAAATTTGCTGGGTGACCTAAAATGAAAGAAAGAACGTGTTGCTCTATCCTTAGACAATTGCTCTTTTGATTTCTCCTTCAATGAGGGTGTTTGTAAGTCTCTGATTTAGAAGCATTTTCTCATGACGGTAAACTCACCCAAGTCTGCTTATTTGAGATTATCTCCAGACAGGCATTACAGAAAGGATCTGGAAAAAAAAGGAGAGAGGGAGAGATACTTTTTGAATGTCCTTTTTTATCTCTGAATGATGAATGTTATGATGTAGGCTGTGGAAATTGTCTTGTGTTTCGTGCTCAAAACCCACTTGATTGTAAATAGCAAGTTTTGAGAGACTATAGTGCAGTTTATTACACTTTGTGTGTGTATATATATATTTTTTGAGTTTCTGATACAGTCAGCACGTCTCAATGTGCTATGGAAAACATTTACACTGCAAAACCTAATGAAGAAAATAGAATATATCATCGCTATTAACCTTCTGAAGGTGCTTCAAGTATCTTGTTGAGTGCAAAATATATTATTTGAAGCATCTTCAGAAGTTGCTTTATAAAATGTGGGTTTTATATTTATATATTTTGTATTCAAAGAAACATATTAAATGCCACCCACTGGATAATGTTTCAAATGAAAGTATGGCAAAAGTTTTGGGGAATAATGTTCCATCATAATTCAGTATAACAAATATATTTTCATAGAAGTGACACAATGTAATCTTCTGACCTGAACCTATTAAATGATTTACAAGAATGAGTGATCAAACAGTCTTAATCATAATAATAATATTATACAGCATAATTGTAATATACAGCTACCTGTATAAAAAAGAAGACATTGTCTGGTAAATCTGGTTTCTCTGGATAAAATTATAACATTTAAAATAAAAAATAATAATATTTCTAAAAAATATATTGTTTATTTCATTCTATACATGTTTTAAAACATTTCTTCTAAATAAAAAAATAGTCATTTATTTATTTATTTGTTTGTTTATTCATTAATTTATTTATCTGTTTATTTGTTTAGAAATGCTTGTATTTATTTGGCAGACAAAGACATTTGTCTTCATTGGTTGTTACTGGAATCCAGTTTATTCCACCAAATTTCTTTTTCGTAACTCTTTTGGTGTTGAAAACATTGGTATAGTATTATCTAGAAAGTAATGTGATGTCTAAAAACATATTTGTTATTCTTGTCCAAAATGTTTCTGCTACATTTGGAGGAAATATTATAAAACCTTTATAAAATTAACCCAATTATTTGAAGAGGTGTCTGTGTCTATACAGCATATGCATCATATTTCTGTGTAAAACCTAAATAATGTTTAACTTTTTATTTACAGTAAGGGTGCCTTCACTTGTTAAACACTAAAAAAAACACTGAGCTATGGCCTTCATTCTGGACATTAAATTTGGTTTGAAACATTTGCTAATGTTGTTATCCTTTTGTATCTTTTTTTTTTAAAAATCATTTCAGGTATAAAATTCTTTCCAACTTGCATGGATCATTAAGCATGCCATTCTTATTAAACATGATTACTCCTATTTATAATGATTTTTAGGCAAAAAAATGCTCTTCATACATATTTATGCATATGTTCCTATTTTTTATTTTTAATACAACATCATAAAATCTGTACATTGATGCAAACAATTTGAATTTTGTATCTATTTTTATCTAGTGTTCAACTTTTTATTATTTATTAAAACAGGTAGCATGTACTTTAGAGAGACTATAGTGAGACACTCAGTTATAAAACACTTCCATCATTAAATGACATTTACAGGTCTTGAAATTAATTTATTTGTCATTCAAGCGAGAGCTATTAGTCAGACTAAGTTTAGTTAAGCTCACTGACCGAGCGCTCATTCAGAAGCTTAAAGGTTTCAAGTGGGGAAAATTGTGTTTTCCATTTCTCCTTGACAGCTTAATAAGTGTAACTTAGTTGAGTTCCCGAGTAAAAGCTCAGTAAAACCAAATAATTGTCACATCGCTTTTGAAAGGACTTTTGAAAGCGCCTCATCAGTTGTAGACAATTAAAGACTTGTTCAATTCAAGTTCAATTGTACGATCTAATCAGAAAATGAACAAGTGCTATTTAATGAACGGATGTGGATCTGTAAAACTCTAAATGAATGAAATATAAATATTTCATTATCATAAATGTATGATTTTAAATTATAAAGGACTTAAATGAGCTCAGCATAAAGGCTCTGGAAATGGGTGACTCATAACGTAATGTGTTTTCATGCGAACAAAAGTCAAACAGGGGAGAGTTTAGGGAAAAAAAAGAAGAAACTCTTGACATGTTTTTTGTAGTTTTAACTTACTGCGAGATAAATGCACAAATAACATCTTGCTATCGTTTTTTTCATAGTGTGAATGAAGATATCAGTTTCAGCAACGTTATTGAAAAAACACACTTTTGGGATTTTAGTGACAGGCTTGCCGGCTCTTATAAAGTCTATCATCTCTTCGCCTTGAGCTGCTGCAGCATGCCCCTGAAATTACGGCAATTGAGACCAGCTCTGGCACCTTGTATTTTGTCCCTGCATCTAGTATTTGACACTCTGTTATGCCCCTGGCAGACAATCACAGGACTTGTGCTTCATGTCTGAAATAATGCCAGCTCCCCTCTCCCCATGATTACACATGATTTTCACAGTCTCAGCTGTTATGGCTAGACGGCCCGGGACACACGTGATCGCTCTGGCTCGCTCTGACGCCATTGCCTCGTCCTGGCGGGGAGGAAAGACTCATGCGGACAAAGGGAGCATTGCATGTTGGGAAGTGGGTGGGCGGGTTTCCCAAGCTGATGCTGCAGATAAAGTTGACCGTGTGCCTGGTGTGTGTGGAAAAGGCCCTTTGGCAACTTTTTGCTAAAGTTTAGAGAATGGAATTGGGATGCAAAACTGATGGCAAAGGTGCAGCATTCGTGAATGTGAAAGTGCATTGGACAATAATCTATACGAACACGTAATTGGCTAGCAAAAAGGAGACAGACTGTCCCCCTTTACATATCAAGTCTGTCATTGAATTTTTGGTCGATGTGGCTTTAGGTTGACTCATGATGGACATATTCTGGAATTAATAAGGCATATCAGCGATTACGCATCCAAAATGATGGTCACCTCCCTTCCAGGATTCTGTTACCACATTGCAATTACTTTAAATGTACTCGGAATACTTGTTGGTGACTTCAAGCAAGCTGTAACCCATTTGTGGTATCATTAAGCATTATTTTAATATGAAACAGGAAAGGTCAAGGTTTTGATTTACTGTAAATAATAAAACCACATGTTGTTTTTCAGTTTTTAAAATTGCATACTTGCATTATAAGTTCAAAATATAGAAAACAAGGACAATAAGGTTTAGTATATGAACAATATACAGTTGAAGTCAGAATTTTTAGCTTTAGAATTTAAAGAATTAACTTTGTTAATTAGGTCAACTAGGCAAGTTAGGGTAAATCGGCAGGTTATTGTATAACAATGATTTGTTCTGTAGACTATTGAAAAAATAGCTTAATGGGGCTAGTAATATTTACATTAATATGTTTATAAAAAATAAAAAAACTGCTTTCATTCTACGGCAAAATAAAACAAATAAGACTTTCTCCAGAAGAAAAAATATTATCAGACACACTGTAAAAATTTCCTTGGTCTGTTAAACATAATCTGGGAAATATTTAAAAAAGAAAAAACAAATCAAAGGGGGTTTAATAATTCTGACTTCAACTGTATGTATTTTTGTATTTGTTAATCTTTATCTTTCAGTTTGGTAATAAAATGGGATTGTTTATTGCTTCTCAATTCTGAAAAAATAATATTTTAGCAGAATATTAGTAAGTGAACAAATGAACCTTAATTAATTAGATAATAATTAATAGTCAATTCTGTAGCAGTATTGTTCATTTTATCTGAAATTGTCTAATTATAAATTTAATGCAACAGTTTAACAGTTTTCATCAAATTTGTGTTATCAAAACATTGCTGGTCAACATATTTAGCCTATAATTATTAAAGCATTTTTAAGTTCTTCAATCTCTTGCAATGTTTTTTAAATTATTATTTATTTATGCTATTTGATTTTTGAAGAAGAAAAAAATATATATATGGGTTTTATTTGTAAAGTACTAGTTACTGTGCAAAATTATACTACACTGTAAAAAAAAAATCCATAATTGTATGTTTTTTTCCGGCAGCTGGGGTGCCAGAAAAAAAGTTAAATATCGGCCGATAAATTACCGAATTTTACTGTAAAAAACAGATGTTAAATTACA